CATGGTAATAATATTACAGGTTTTGAGTAAGAATAAACTATAAATATTGCAAAGATCTTTAAATTCCAACAGAGTTTTAATACAAAGTAATTTGCTTAATTAAAATCATCCTGACAAAACTGAGAAGAAAGGCAGGATTTTTGTGTTGTTTCTAGCTTTAGTATTTCCTTTCATGTGCTGATGGTGCTTGCAGGCTTTAATATCTAACGTAGATACCAAAATCCATAACAAGGAACCTGGGAAAAGCTACTCACTTGCTTTTATAAGAAAAATAATTTTTTGCACCCTTCTCCCCTTTTACAGCTTAAGGCAGTTTTATGGGGAATGTCTTAAGGGACTGCTCTTGAGAGAGGCAAAATCCTGACTTTACAGTGGTGGTAAATGAAGTCATGGTAACAAAGTGCCTATAAATAGGTCACTGCCGTAATATACCGGTCTGTTATATATTTCCATATGATGTGGTGTTTATTTAGAGAAGATGACAGAGGCAGCCGTGGTGTTCCAAAGGCACCTGAGGGAACCCAGGGAAGCGGGGGCCTGCTCTGTGCTCGGCTGTAGGGGGGTCTGGCCCGGCCGGGATCCCGAGCTCTGTGCCGGGTGTTGGCCGGGGCATGGCGTGAGGGGAGAGGCCGGCCCGGGCATGGCGTGAGGGGAGAGGCCGGCCCGGGCATGGCGTGAGGGGAGAGGCCAGTCCCAGCTGGGGGGACTCTGGGACAGCAGCTTTGGGGCAGGGAGATGAGGAGGAGAAAGGGGAGAAACAGCCCCACAGACACTGGAGCTGAGCAGGGAGACATGAACGGGCAATGGAGCAGGGATCCATGCTGGGATCCACGCTGGGATCTGTGTGGGCAGAACCCACCCTGGCTCAGGGGAAAAGTGGAAGGAGAAAGAGAGAAGCAGGGCAGAGCTGCCATGGACTGACCCCTCCATTGTGTCATGGTGGGGAGGAAGTGATTCTGTGAAGGATGGAGGAGTTGGGAGTAAAGGGAAAAAACGCTGGGCTTGGGAAGGAGGTGCTTGAGGACAAGGGCTCTTTGTGTCTTCTTATCTCCCCACCGAGCTCTGTTGGAATGGCAATAAATAAATTCCCTGAGGGAGTTGTGTTGTGCTGGGATGGTGGTAGGTGAGTGATCTCCCTGTCTTTATTTCAACCCACAAATATTGTCATTGCCTCCCCCTGCCCTGGTCTGTGGGAGAGGGGCCAGGTGGGGGAAGCTCTATGTTAAAAACGAGAGCAGGAACTAAAGAGATTTCAGTATTTATTATAAGAAAAAGAAAGGCCTAAAGCAAGGGAGCCCGCGGGCCGAGCAGGAGCGTTCCCGTCGAGGATGCTGCAGCGCTGGGGCTGCTCAGCAGCGATGGCCCCGATGATGTCCCCATGTCCCAGATGGAGCGGCACGGATTCAGTGGGTCAGAACCCCCATTTTATCCTGTGTTTTGTCCCTTTAGATTGGTTTCTTTTTGGATCCTTCATTTGCATGAAGGTTTAAGGTTGATTGGCCCATTCCAGTTCTGTCCAGGCTGGCTCGTTTGGCTTGGGGTGGTGCACTTTACTTAGGTGTAATACGGTACAGTCAGTGCCGTATTTCTTATAACTACCCTTTAACCGCTTTTACAATATAATAACCAAGCTAACAGTACATGCTTAACGATCTATCAACTATTTTACAACAGTTTCTAACCTATTTTTAACACTCCACACCAAACCCATCTTTTGAACTCCACAGAGTTATTACAGAGTCCTTAAAAGAAAAAAAATACTGTCAGAATTCCACTTTTTGATGCATAGCTGCACATCTGAAGATTATCCAAACGTTGATTAGCGTAACTTGTTAGTTATAACAGATCAAAGAAATACAGTGCATGTTTTTGTGTCTGGGGATAGCAAAATGAGGCAACAAGATGTGTTAGAGGACTTGTGCTGCTTGTAAGGAGTCCCAATTCATTAAAGCCATCCAGGTTCTTTGTTTGTGACTCATTTTAGTTATTACCATAAAAGTTCTGCAGAAATGCTTACTTTTATATTCCAGATTTGCCAAATATGTTTATAAATGCACACAGCAGGTCATTCTGGATGGACTGATAAGGTGCTCCTTGCTTGGGAGCTTGTGATAAAGCCAGCTGAAAAAATGAGAGGTTAGAGATTGTATGAAAATTAACTGTGAAACAGAATGAATGTTTACACATCAGACTAATTTTCACATCTTTTATTTAACTACTAACAAGATGATAAAGTTTCAGGTTTATTTATGGTGCTACTCTAACTAAAATGCAAGGATTTTAATACTTAAAATTTGGGGGGGCGGTGGAGGGGGTTGTTTCTTAAATGTGGTGTCTGGGACAATCTCTTATACACAGTTTTTTACACAGGGGTAAGAATCCTGAGTAACTTAGCTTAGTGTTGAATTTTGAAGGGTTTTTTTTTTCATCTTGAAAGAGAGAAGTCATTAAAATATGTTTCCTTAGTTCTCTCCCATGTGAAGCTCATTAGTCCCTGGGCTCCTGTAGTGTGAGGAGGGATGTTAGAAACTGATTTTTGACTGTTTCAAACTCCCTTCTGCCTGCAAGCTTGGAATTAAGCCACTTTCAATTCTGTTCTAGCTCTCCTTTCTCTCTCATGAGTGTTTTCCTTCACTATTGTGGATCTTGCCTCTATGATTCTTTGTAACAGTTTCCTGAGATCACAGCCACAGCTCTGCTGCCTTTCACTTTCTCTTCTTCCTTTCCTTGCCCTGGACCCTGGATTTTCTGGAAGGACACCCTGTGTTTAGCTCTCTCTCAATACTTGTGCATTGAGTTTAAAGCAGGTGAAACACTTGTGTTCTGTAGTCTCATTTATTTGTATTCAAAGTAAATACTTCTGGTACTCCTTGGCTTGTATAAAATGACAGTTTAAACATAAGCATAGAACATATACTGTAATTTAACCAGCATGGTATTCTGGACCTGCCTGCTTTGATAACCTTGAACCACATTACAGGAGTGAGAAAGAGGCTCTCCTAGCAGGTTTAGTTGGGAAGTCTGAATATGGTGGTTTGGGACCTAATTCTCATGATAATTTCATTCCCAACTGTTTTATTATTAAAATATACATAATTTGCTATTTTGATACTACCAAACTCAATTGTTTTCATCTTGTGTTTTAAAAAGTGACAACCTTTTATTGTTCACATAAATAGCATATAAAAATGGACATTCCCCATACCTACTGTCATTATCAGCTTATATAGGATTTACTTGTGACCACATTTAGTAATAAAACCTAAACAAAATTGAGTCATTTTAAGCTTATCAGCTATGCATGATTATCTTCCTTGCATAAATTTTTTCAGCCCCAGAAATTTATGTGTTTCTGTTAGATCTAGTGTCTGTTTTGCTTTCTTTCAAGTGGGACCAAAACCAGTATTGATGCAGAGTTGAAAGATTGTGCATCTTTTCATCTCAAAATTGTTTGATAGGAACAACTGATGATGCCATCTGTGCTTAACCTGCTTCAGCAAAACAGATGTGTAATGAGGTTCAGAGAAATTAAAAAATGCTTATCAAAATGGATTGCATTGATGTCTGTTTTCCAAAGTCATGCAGATCTAGTGGTCTTATAGGAAAACAAACTCAAGTAGGTGGAAGTTCTTTTTTCATCTCATCTCAGCTATTTTTGGTAAACAAGTGAAAAACACTTGTTCTAATAATGTGTTGCAACAGAAAACACTTATGTTTCTCTTTGTGGATGTTCCTCTATCAGATGTAATCTGGGTAGATGCAGGTGTCTGTATTTAGAGGGCTTTTATAGCCCACTCATGTAGAAGCAGAGATGTGATCAAGGCAGTGCCAGCTGATCAAGTCTCCATGTCAGTCCATCCACTCAGTGTTTTCCCCAGTGATATTCAAACACTTCAGGCTTTGCAAAGCCGAGGGATGGAGCTCAGCTCTTCAAAGAACAGCATCCACCTGCATCAGGGGATCTTGTTTTCCTTCTTGGCCTCCTGTTATTGGCTGCTCTATGCAGTATTGGAGACTGACTGGATGGAGACGAGCCCCCTTGACACACAGTCCTGACCCAGCACAGAGACAAATGTCCTTATTTCATCTTATCTTATGGCTGGCCTTGCTTGTTGGCCTTAAACTTTCCTGTTTGGGGAATTCACATACTTTTTTCCCCTGCAGGAAATAACTATATTTCCACTTTCGTCTGGTTTTGGGGGATTTGGTTTTGGTGAAGAGGGTTTTTTCCATCATGGAGTAATACCAGTTCTTTTGGAAAGGATTCCAGTGTTAGTTGTAGAAGTTTCTGGGGGTATTTTCTGTTTATTTGTCTTTACTGATGGTGGTGGTGTGGGGGGTTTTATATTCCCTATGGTAATTTTTCTCTTTCAAAGTAGTTTTCCTGGTGGATTTTGTCATTAATTGCTTTAGTCCTTTTTAGAGTGCCAGGTAATGAATTTTCACACACCCACCCCCCTCATACCTGGCTGAACTTTAGTAACTGGAATATCACAAATAATTTCCAAATGCTTTTTTGTTGTGGTGATTCATTGTTGCTCACTGCTCAGAGCCATTCATTTAGCTGCTGACAGAAGTAAACTTTTTCACCTCTATCACTTGAAATCTAAAATTTTACATTTACTGTATGATTGGAATAAGCGATTCCTGCTGTGCCTAATGAATCCTCTTATTCAGCATTAAGTTCCATCAGAAAATGGGGCTCTTAGCAGATTGAGCCTAAACCACAGGAATAAGAAGTTATTTAGTATGAATTGCATCAGTTAACACTACTTTTTGATGTAAATATTTTAAGGCTCACAAAAACTGATGTTCCTCTAGGGTAATTAAATAAAAATTGGGTAACTTATTAATCTCTCTCTTTCTCTCTCTCTTTCTCGCACTTTCTCTTTCCAAACTTATTCTCTTCCCCTCTCTTTCTTTCCCCTGCTTTTCTCCCCTCCTTGCCTCTTTCCTTTCCTCTCCCTCCTCCCCCTCCTCCCAAAAATGTGCCCTTACAGAAGCATAAGGTAGATCTTTTCTACAAGCTGCGGCATGTGATGAACGAGCTCATTGACCTCCGCAGGCAGCTGCTCTCGGGGCACCTGACACAGGATCAGGTGCGAGAGGTCAAGAGACACCTCACAGTGAGGCTGGACTGGGGCAATGAGTAAGTACTGGCTCCTGTTTCTTCTCATTCTTCTCAAGTAACTGTTATTAACAAAAAAAAAACCAAAACCTACTCAATGTTTTCTTTGCAATAGTATTTGTGCACAGGGAGAACTTGGGATTATTTGAAAATCAAGTATAACTTTTTCCTGAATGTATTGCCTTCCACAGGGAGTTTTGCTCTTGGTGTGAAATGAGCTGTTTACCAGTAGGCCTTTCCAAGGGCTCCCTGCACTTATAAAAGGATTAGGTCACTTCACTTATTTGGTATCAACCTACAGAATATTAGGCCTGGGAGAATGTGTTCAGAGGTACTAAAATACATTTTTCTTCCATTAAGGAAGTATTTTAATGGTTGTTGCAAAAAGCAGAGAATCTCACAGTTAACCAGGGACACGGGGGCTGAGGCTGTGGTATTTAGACTTTTTGTATCATGACGCTTCTCAGAGGTTTAGTCACCTTGGTCGGCTCCATGGTGATTTTGTGGAGAGGTTCTTTTAAAGGCAAAGACAACTGCAATTCATTCACACAGAAATGATAATAAATTGTCATTAGACAACAACCAGCCCTTGGCCAGACTTGTGTGTTCTGGATATGGATCAGACAGGTAAGTTGTGCATGACACACGACACTCACTCTCAGACAAACAGAATTTCCCTCTGGGAGTGGGATTAGTGCTAATGAGCATGTGGGAGTGGGGAGGAGTCCTGTAGGTTTGACAGCTAAGGAGAAAATCCCAATGTTTTTCTTTAAACAATGTTTGATTCCATTTCTTGGTCACCTACCTCAAAACCCCCTCTGAGGAACATACCTGAACACCCTGATAAAGGTTTAGCAGCCCCTTTGCTGCACTTCATTTCCATCTTGTTGACAGAAAGCTCTGAAGGACATAGACCAATAGATTGCATCAAGTCTTTCTGCAGTGCAGAATTACAGATATTTTCCATTCTTATTCCCAGTGGAGTGAATAGGAACCAAGAGATTGTGTTTGAGCATTACGCCTGCCTGGTTTTGCTCGGAGTTTATGATCAAATTAGCAACAGGAAACTGCAAAAATGCTGTGAGGAAAAAGAGATGAGAGCAGAGAGCACTGCAGCAGTGAAGAGAATAGGTTATTCCATGAGGTGCCTGTAGACCTTTTTTGATGTATAAAGGTAAATCTAATGCATGACAATTATGGAGAAGCCTCAGCGAAATCAGTAAATATGTTCAGGATTATATTCATCTACTCAGGATGCTTGTTTAGGAAAAAAAAATTGTTTCTTACTACAGGTATTAAAATCCCTAGAGAAAGAGATGCATGACATCAGAGATACATGCAGTATTTAAATGTAAATGTCTGGGACTTTGGGGGTGTTTCTGCAACATTACTCTTTTCCACAGAATTTCTGGAAGAGTTCTGCCACTTTTTTCTATCCCCCCTCTCTGAGGTTTATCACAAAACTTATAACCCCCTGTGTTCATCTGCTAAAAACACTAATGACTTACAAAGCCATATTCACATAGTACTGCCCTTTCTCAAGTATTATACTAGTGTTAGTTGCTGTTCTGTCATACTTGAGATTTGCAAATAAAAGAAATTAAAAACATTGTTATTAATGTGCATTAATGTTGTCTGAGAAGATTGAGTTCCCTGCAGTTTGAGCAGGGCTGTAATTGCTCCAGACAGTACAATGTAACAGGAGATACTCCATTGCCAAGCAGCTTTCAGGAAATAGTAATCTCACACATCTAATATGTAACATGTTTGCTTATTTACTGAGAGACTCTTTATCCTCACCTTGATCATCAGTGAATTGTATTATTTGGGAAGGAGTGATGCAAACATGAAACTCACACTACTTGTAATCACCAATGACTGATTTTTTCACTTTGTTAAACTGGTACAATTTTCCCTTAAATACACTGGCAGTGGCTCTGGAAGTCATCCCTTGTGTCCTGGTAGGGATAGATACACTCCTTGAATGAATAGCTACAGGTTGCATTTTTTGTGAAAGAGCTCATTTAGACTGTCTGAAAACAGTCTTTGTTTGCTTCATTTTGTGTGCTTGCTGTAAATACTAAGAAATTTTGTTCTGTAGTTGGGCCTATTGAAATGTGGGCATATTAATTTACAATAATTGCTGCTAAACCCCTGTATTGTTGCTAATCATTTTTCTAACACAATACTGATTGCCCCTTCCTAAAGCCATTGCATTTTCTGTTGCTTACACATTCTTTCTCCCCTGTACAGAAGAGAGCTCCTGGACTCATCCTTTTTTTCATTAATGCATTCCTGCTTTCTTCCTTGTTCCACTTACCCCCAGGTAGTTTAGGTTTGTACACAGCAGGGCTGACATTGCTGCTACAGAGATTTTTGTATTTCCCAATCAGAATTTGGTACCTTTAGATGAGTACCTTGCTGGTTTTAGACTTGCACTTCCAAGCATCTCTGTGTATTCTCACACAGCCAAAATTTTATCTACTGTTTTATTTCCTGTTTATCTTGCTGGGTTTTATACAGAATATTGCAAATACTAATGCTTTCTAGCAATGTTTCATTCTGATACAATTGGCCATAATATGGATCTGTGGAAGTCTGAAATGCTATTGGAAGTGTCCAATGGTCTGTGAATAACAAGGAAAAAGTTGTAAAGCATGGAACAAATGTTATAAAGCTGAAGTGTGCTATTTTTCATCTCATTTAAGTCACATTATAAAGTTATAAAGTTGAATCTTGAGTTCTTCATCTCATTTTCTATCATGTTTCAAATCAAATAGATACTTGATTTTGAAATTTTTGTTTAGGTTTTTGCTTCAACATGAATGGATAAGTCTTTCCACTTTCACTATTGCTTAGAATGGGAAACCAGAATGCAGCTTTTTTGCTGATGAAGAGCTGTTTCATTGTGGAGACTTTTGCATCAAAAACAGATGAAGGAATCTGCCTGACAGAGCTGCTATTTGAAATGTGAATCCTCTGCTTCTGCTTCAGTGCCAAAAGCTAATTGCAGCAGTATGTGCAATACCTTGTGTGCCAGAAAGGCAGATGAAGCTTTCTTCAAAGTAATTCAACTTGAAAATCAGAGGTCATCTCACCTGATCTTCAGGACTGATTCTTTCAGATTAATGTAGCATCTGTCAGGAGATTACCAGAAAGCATCCAGGTCTCCTTGCATACTCAGGGAAGACACTTCCTTCCCTATAAATGTGGAATATATATTCTATGTTTTAGGTCAGAAACAGAGTAAGGAGGGGGAGCCACCAATACCTTGATATTTTTGACAGATAAAAGCCATGAACAAGATGAGTTTGTAGGCTTTTATTACTTTTTAGTCAAAGGTTATTCTTTTTTCCCATAAAATGTTATTAAAATCATTGCATTAAAAGAAATTTTCCAAATAGTTGCCATAAATTCTGTGCAGAAAGATCCACAGGTAGCCAGAAGGTAAAAATGAGTGTTAAAAAAGAAAAACAAAGGGCAAAATATTAGCAATATATCTTTTACACTGTCATACAAAGAAAATGAAACACACTTTTAAGGTCCTGGGTTTTTTCCTGCCTCAGAATTGAGGTTGGAAAGCCTGCAGCTGCTGGTTAGTACCTACTGACTACTGACATCCATAACTGTGGAGGGCAGGAATTGTGTGAGCCAGTGAAGTCAGCACAGTCTTGAATTTCAAAAAGCCCTAAATTCCAGTGCTCACACTTGTAGCTTATTTTGGGGCTTGGACTGATTTATCCTCTTGTCATATCTTCTTGACATAAAAGGAATGAGAATGACTTTTTGGTAGTATTGTAACAATGAGCTTAAAGTTATTAAATGCATCTGGAGATAAGAGTTAAAAGTACAGATGATACCTGTTTGGGGAATTCAAGGCACTTTTATTGCAGTAGCTGTCATTGCATCAAAGGAGATCAAAATAGGAATGCCAACTTAAACAACCATGAAGAAATGCCTTTAAGAATTGCAGGAAGGGCAGCTGCCATTTCTGTCTGAATGTGAGCATCTTTCCCTCTCCTTGGAGTAATGCCTGAGTTGGGATTAAAGGTGTAGGGAGCTCTGCTGAAAGTCAGTCTTTGAGAAAAACCTGAATAACCTCTCTCTGGAGCTGATACTGCCATGCTCAGAAGTGTTTGCTCCAATTCCCTTTTAGCAGTTCCTAACTAAGATTATTTACTTTCATCTCTTCATCTTCATTTTAAGAAATAATTTCCTGTGTAGCTTTACATCAGTACTTTACTAATTTTTTTGTAGATTGCAGTCCCTGCAGTTTTTTTGTATAATTTAACTTAATTCTGTCAAAGAAAACTGTTGGGTTGTATTAGCAGTCTCATTTTGACAAACGTGGTTTGTTTTTTCATGTATTTAGTTTTTTGTGGATTTCTGTATTGTATTTCCTTCAAAGTCCATTTTAAAGTCTGTACACAGTTTATGTGAATCACTGCTAGCATCATTTTCTTTCCCTTCACCATCTTTATTTGTGTGAGAGAAATACAAATTATATTAAGTGAGGCTTTGATAAACTAAGAGAAGGAATAAAAGAAAGAGTAGTGGCTGCAAAATTCAAGCTGAAAAGGTTGAGGTAAAGTAGATGTTTTTGGAGCAAAGGGGATGAGATCTTGCACCCTCCAGAGATGTGATGAGCTCTCCCAATCTGTTCTTCAAGACTGAGTTTGCATCTGAAATGTTTTTGGCTTTTTTACATCAAATGCTGTATTTCTTCAAGGTTCTTTTAGGAGGAGTTGTGCTGACTTGTGATTTTATGAATTCTAAGTGCTGTAGTGTTTGTATTGTAAATAAGTGAATGTACTAGAAACTAGGACTGCTCCTCAAAATTACCATTAAACCTAAGCTGGTTTCTTTCTAGAAGCCCAGGTAACCTTGAATTGTGTGTTCATCCCTTTCACAATTCAAAAGCCCTCTATTTTTGTCAGTTGGCTTGATTTCATATTACTTGAGAGAAAATTATCTAGAGATTTCAGGTGGTGGATTTTTAAAATTTTTGTCCCCCAAAGAAAGGAAAATGGTGAAGACTTTTATGTAGATGAGGAAGAATGTCCAAATGCCAGCTGGAGGGATCCCAAACAGATGCAATCAAGAGGTAATTGATAAGCTTGGGGATATTTTGTAGGTATGCTTGGGAAATGTTTTTGAAGGGCAGTTCAGTGTGAAGGCAGAATAAAAGAGCACAAGCATTTGCTTGTAAAAGGAAGTATTGTGGAGACAGGAACTGTCAAATAAACAAACCAGCACATTATGTAATTTTTATGCATGCTCTGTTTTGGAGAAATACTGCCTGGCAGCTGGGGCTCTTCTATCCCCAGTGTTTGATAATAGAGAGGGAAAGTGGGCCACTGACTGTCATTGCCATCTCAAGCATTATGTTGTCAGTCCTTCACAGGCAAAAAAATAATTGATACAAATTGAGTGTACAAACCTGGACTTCCACCTGCACAGTAAATGGCTGCATGGTTGTGCTCCAGCCAAGACAGCCTTATTTGCTGGGAGCAAGTGTTGTGCAGGATTAACATAGTATTAGAGAATGAGAATCTTCTGGGCTGAAAATCCACGGTGTTAAGGGATTTAACTAAAAATAGGGTATTAGATAAGTTTCACAGGGATGCTGCTGCAGTTGTGTTGAACATTATCAAGCAGAAGATAATACTTTTGTCATGTTCTGAGTAATGAGTGCAGGCACTGCTTCACCCCAGCTCTCCAGAGAGCTGAAATGATGCGAGCAGAACCTCGCCAGGCTGGGATTGGCTTGGCCAGGTTTTCCTGGAGAACTTGAATAGAGCTCTGAGACTGCCCTGGAGCTGCAGTGCACACACAGTGGCTTTGATAGTGTCAGTAGGGAATAATCTGTTCATATCTGTGTGCTGAGGGGAAATCCCTTTATCAATGTACCTTAGGGGTGGGAGTGTGCACCCATGTGAATGACAGGGTGTTTTGGAGATTTGGATACATTCAGAAAAGCTTCTGTGAATGAATTTGATGAACAGTAACATTAAAAAAAACCCAAAAACAACTTTGCAGTGATCTCTGACTGATTTTACCATTTTTTGTATTACATTTTTTGACTTTCTGTGATAAGTAGGCTCAACTGGCAGCTACAGGTAAGGATTACCTAGTGTGTCCTTATTTTAATCTTTTCCATTTGGTAAATAGATGTAGTCATTTCATAGTTGCAGCTGCAGTTTTCAGATCCTGGTCCTGGACCACAGATACTTGTGTTTGATAGGTTTAATCAAAGCAAAGTGTGAAACTGTGACTTTCACAATGTAGCATTAGAATTTAGAATTTGGTATTTGACACAAAACTGCATTGGAGAAGGAAAGCTGCTCCCTTTTCTCCATTGAAAATACAATTGATTTGAGCAAAGAACTGAGAACATGGAATTTCCACTTGGTCAGCAGGGGGTTTCAATGACCATACAGCGCTGCCAGGGCAAGTGAACAGGGCTGAGCTGTGTTTTGGAGATGTGATGGTTTAGAGATATAATGAAAGAAGGAAAACCTGCTTAGGCAAAGGTTCAAAAAAAAAAAAGAATTATGGAGTTTGGAAACTTCTGGGTAACATTTAAAAGCACCTTGGTGAGCAAAGGTAGCTGAGCTTCATCCAAACTGCTGCTTCTCCCCAGCTGTTGTTTTAAGCCAATTGCCCAGAAAGAGACACTGGATTGCCTGGAGCCTTCTGTTATTGCTCCACACAATTACTCTACAGTACCAGAGAGGTTTTTCTCAATAAAATTTTTCATTTGCCATCAGGAACAAGTCTGTGCAGAATGTTTCCCTCTCTGATTACAAAATTAAATTGGCTTCTGCTTTTCTTTTATAGTTTGTGACAGGAGTTTGCCACAGTAATTCGTGAGGGCACCTCTTCTGTTTGGTTTTTTTCTTTAAGATTGTTAAGAATTTCAATATAAAATGTCTGGAAGTGAAGTATCAAAGTTATATAAGGCAAAAGCAGGAAAATGGTTAATTCATGTGTTGGGTTTGTTAAAAATTTACTCCTAATAATATTGTTTAGTGTAGCTTTTTATTGTAATGCTCAGAACTCTTTGTGCCTCAGAAACTGAAGATCTATGGAGAAAAACTTGGGGTTTGTCACCTTTAAGGTTGTCTTGTTCTGCAGTTATTACAGTTATTAATTAATCATTAACAGTTTGCATTTTATTGTCTGGATAAAGAATATCTTATCCTGTCTGCTCCTCCTGTGAAGCTGTGACCTGAACTGCCTTCTCTACAGCTGAATTCCTTAACTTGTCATCTTTGCACTGCTATTTTTTTTGTCAGTTTATATAGTTGATTTGAGCCAAAATAATAATTCTGTTCAGAATAATTAAAAACATTTTGTGTGTATTACAAATACAGATTAAGATTATTGTTTATTACTAACAAAAATTACTGTGTTTACATGGGGGTGAAGTTTTATGAACACCAGGAATATCAAAGCAGCTCCCAGGGCTCAGAATCTGTTGGCACATTTGAACAGGACTGTTAATGGAACTTTTTCATTATGTAATGAAGGATCTTACTCAAGTACTTCAGCAGCAAACAGAGTATGCTGTATCCATGTACAAAATTACCTTGTTTTGAGTACTGCACCAACATATTGGCCAAAAGCTTCCCCTGCATTAATTGCCAGAGCTCCACTGAATTTGGGGAACAAAAGGTAACAAGTTTGTAGAGGGATTTTTTGATATTTGCATTAAATTTTCTTTAGAATTGTTTAATAGTTAACAATTGCAGTAAGACTGGAATAGCAGAGTATTTCTGTGTCCCTACCCTGGAGGAGGCACATGCAGGAGGTGCTGGTGCCATTCATGTGCCTCACTGACTCTGCTCCTTCCTTCCCTTGCAGACATTTGGGCCTTGACTTAGTTCCACGGAAGGACTTTGAGGTTGTGGATTCAGATCAGATCAGTGTTTCAGACCTTTATAAAATGGTAAGAAATTCTATGGGAGATTCCTCTGAGTTTTCACTGTGGGAGGGAAAGAAGGGAAAATGTTTTTATTCTTAACTCTTTTATGTTTTCTTGTTTCCAATGGTGTTGTAAATTAAATGTCTTCTTCATTTGCACCCTGACCACCAAAGCAGTGTCTCTCCTACCCTAAGCAGGGGCATGCTTTGATACATTTTTACTTCAATTTACAAAGTAATGTGGTGTTAATTCTTGGAAGGTTCTCTGAGTCCAGAAAGTCTGTGAGAGCCATTATTTGATTCTTTGAGCAGATTTGCAGATGAAAAATACCTAAGTGAAAAGTCTGGCTTTGTAGTTGCATAGATAATAAATATCTTTGCCCTGTTACAAAGACTTTTTGAGCTCACAGAAAAGGGGAGGGAGGAGGGAGGCCAGTGCATAAGTTAATTTAAGCAAAACTAATCCTTGAACATTAATGCTGTCCCTGTTGTGTGTCACTGCTCCTTGGAAAGCATGGAGTGCATTTGAATAAGAATATTTGGATTTTCAGGTGAAGTATTATAATTCCTTCACTGTAGTGAGTTCCAAATGCTGTCATTATTAGTCACTTGTACAGTCCTCTTTGTACATAATGAAGTTGAAGTTGTTTTGGAAATGTGAATTGTGCCATTAGTGAACTGTAAAGCCACTGATGCATTTTACTACCTGTGTTTGGATTCTCTGTCAGTAGAACTAATACAGATAATTTTGGTTTGCATTGTGATGTAACTGCAGAGGGAGAAACAAGATGTATAACTTAGGAAAGTGAATGAAAACCCTTCCTCAGATGCTGTTTTATCTACAAAAAAGACAAAAAACCCTCAGCAATTATTTTGTGCAACTACTTCATTTAATATCTTCCAAAGAAAGTAGATGTTTTCTACATAATGTTGTTAGAGTGTCACTCACTTCTAGGAAGCTTTTAATTTCCTGTTTTAAAGCAGTTTTGCCTTTCAGCTGTTTAAGATTAGGGGCAGAGAGGTCCATAGCTTGGTGATGGGTTTGGTTGCAAGATGTGACTTTTCCTTAAACCAAGGGCATGTTTTGTGAACAAGCTGGGTGCTGTTGCTGCTTTGGATTATTGCACTGTATAATAGTGGATTTCATGGAAAGGAGTAAGAATTATTGCATAAGAAATATGGAAGTACACCAGTCTATAGTGCTAATTTTTAAAGTTTGTTCCTAATTTGCCATGGTCTGAGGAGAGTTTAGTGCCAGTACAGCAGAGATTTCCTTCAGCACAGCCTGGAAAGAACTCGGTAGCAAATTCCATCAGTGAGGACCCAGGGTGTGAGATTAGTTGCTAACTAAGGATTGGTTTATTACTCTGAGGTTTATTCTGCACATTTTTTTACTCTGAATCCTTGGAGTAGTGCAAATAGGCAATATTTATTGCCAGAGCAGCCTGATTATGTCACCCCCTAGTCCTGTGACTGTGTCTGTGCTGCTCCATGCTGGGCAGGGCTCAGGACAGCACCATTACTCACTTCACACTTCACTGCTGCTGGAGTGTGTAGATGCAAGAGGACAGTGCTGTCTAATCACATCTCTTCACAGTCAGGAGGCAATTTCAGGAACCAAAGCAGCTGAAAACCTGTTACTTTTTTTTAACTTAAATTTAGTAAAAAATGAAGGAAAGGTATATTAGTGATTTAGGGTGTTTTAGAATTATTTTTAATGTGGTTTGGGGATTGTTTTTATTACTTAACAAAAACCCAGGGAGAGAATCCTCCTTATTTATGACAAAATACTTTATGGATTCTCAAATGAGCAATGAGGTTTTACATTGTAAAATAATCTTGCAGGAGTAGTTGTGAGAGCCAAATTACTTTCTTATGTTTTCAGGATTGTAGGATGTTAAATGTAACATAGAAAACACTCATTAGCAGAGCAATGGGTGAGGCACACATCAGACTTTGCTCTGTGACAAGAGGGATTCAAGCACTTTTAACTCAGCCATTAGACTTAGCACTGCTCTTCTTGATTAAACTGGAAGCTGTTACATTGGAGCCTCTCCTTTAGCTCTCATGTGCCATTGCTGAGTGTGTTTGTGACTGCTGGGTGATGCTGTGTTCATCTCTTTGGCAGAGCTGTTGTGCTCTGAGGCCGTGCACATCCTGCTGCTCCATGTTACTCATCCTGAAGCTAAATGCCAGTGGCTGCAGGATGCACAGCACTTGTCAGGAATTGTTGTTTTGCTCCTGAAGGAAAGCAAATTGCCCTTTGCCTATGACAATGTTTGTGACTTTAACCAATATGACAGAACACTTTTTAAAAATACATATTACTTTGGAATGGTGGGAAAACATGTTCTCAGAATTCTGCCACAGAGCTCAGCGCTGGAGCTGCCCCTGGATTGAAGTTGTCATTTAGGAACACAAAGTCCTGCAGGATGTCAGGAGCACTTGGATGGCACATTTTAGTGGAAGGGTTACAAGCCACAAATGTCTGAAGTCATTTCACAAATCAGAAATGTTCCAAGCTGGTGATTAATTGTGTTTAGCTTTTCTAGAAGGTTATTGAAGTGGGTGTGTGTCTTCAGGACAAGTTCAGGAGGTGCATGAAAGGCACAGCTGTTGGCTCTGTAACTGCTGCAGCTCAGCTGTTTCTTCCAGCTGTGTGAGAGAAATGCCATGAGTTCACCAGAGTTTCTAATTTAAAAAAATAGAGCTCCTAAAGAAATAGCTTTAAATTAATGCTGCCATCACCTCTGAACTGTTAATTCTTTATCCAAATGGTAAATGTGATTGGTGAGATGGAATAGGCAAGAAAATAAGAATTCAGTTGTCCAAAACTCTTCTAGATAAGGAAAACAACTGGGCACAAACTGGAGAGAAGATCATGAAATCTTTGTTGATTTTTTAAATTTTATTTTCTTGATTGTTCTTTGTAAAACAAAGCAGATGGGCAGAGAACAGGTTTGTGTGTGTTAGGTTCTAAAGCCCAGGAAAAAGTCAGGTGAGAATATGAAGGCAGAGCAGAAAGCAGTTTAAGACTGACTTGGGAATGATGGGATTCACTCACCAGGCATTGTTGGGGAAGGAATGAGGAAGAACAACACTGAAAAGTGATACTGGTAGATAAGATACCATGAGAAAGTGCAGGTAAGGACAATTGATAGTTCTTTCAGTAAATTAGGAACAAAACCACAGATGCTCTCTAACAGCCAAGTTGGATAAATTCAGAATTCTTCATCTCCTCTAGGCATTAGAGTGAAAGGGAAATTGAGATTACTGAGAGCCAGTTTACAAGAACAGCATTATAGAGAAATAGAATAGCACAAATGGGTAAATAGAAAAATTACAAAGGCAATGCACAAATTCAAATATAACGAGCAAATGTGGTCAATTGTATCAAGAAATGGTTTTATATAAATAACCTGGTACTAACTGGGAAGCTAAAATAAAATTTTTATACTGGGGAAAACCAACTGGCACACGAGGCAAGAAAATAACAGGGCACTTAATGTCCTTGTTACCCCCCTGAACTCTGGTAATTTCCTCAAGAAGTTTTCAGTTCCAGGGCATTTGGAGCTGTGTACATTCCAGTTGGGATCTTTGGAGAAGCCATATCAGACATGTTAGTGATAATCACTGACAAGATGGATAAGGTTCCAGAATACCAGCAAAGGGCAAGCCAGTTTCACACCTTAAGAATAGGTGATGGAGGAGGAGCTGGTAATTGTTCTCTCTCTGTAACAAATGCTGGAAAATAATAATAATAGAAAATAATAATTACTTGCAGCAAGGACATGAGTATTAGTGTGTGTGAACTTGTCCAGAATAAGCAATTTTTAGGAGTTCCAGAACATAGATAAGTCAAGTGGACAGAGGAGAAGCAGCTGATGCCATATTTAGATTTTGGTAAAGGTTTTAAATGTTTGTTTTAATTTAAATTCTCCAAAGGTCATTAGTTCTAAATGAAATCACTGTAATGTAAACACAGAGCTAATTAGAAAACACATAGCAAAAAAAAAAAAGAATGGTTGTCAATAATTTGATTAAATAGCAGGAGGGATGAATTAAGTGAATTTCTTGGGGTTATCCTCCATTTTGTAGTACTTCAAGTTTAATGTTTAATTAAGGACTAGATGCTGAAATAAGGAGTCTGCTTACTAAATATACAAAATCCACAACGTTGGAAATGGTCTTTCTGATTGTTTCAGTGGAGGTAAGGATCAGAATTCCAAATAATAGAGAGAAATTTAAGAAATTATGTGAAAAATGTAGTGTACCAGGGAGAATCATAAATGTAAGGTTTTAACTCCTGCAGTCAGTTGGTGGCTCTGAAGTGCAGATTGGGACACTCTAAGCTTAGGTGGGTTTGTCGAGGAGATTTGAGGTTATAATGGAATCACAAGCTGAATTAATTAATCTTTTCATCCTAATGATGGATAAGAAAAGAATCAATAGGCCTAGATTGCAATAGCAAGGAATCAAATTAAGCATCAGAAAATGCTTTGATGAGGAAAGATATACTGAACATTGTATCTGTTAAAGTTTGCACAACCTTTGCAGACAACTATTTTTTGGGAAAAATAAAGGTAAAACTGATTTGTTTTTATTTTTTTTAGAATGAAGATGGATAATTTCTTAGCAGTCCTATTTTTATATCACTTTGGAAGGGTTTTCAGGTTGGAAGGGGCCTCAGGGAGGTCTAGGCAAACTTTCTGCTCTCAATACAAGGTCAATACTGAATTCAGACCAGGCTGCTCAGTGCTTTGTCCAGCTGGATGTTGAAATTCTTCAAAGGAAAGGTCTGAATGTTGTAATGGCTGCCCTGAGGGGTTACATTTTGCCTTGTTGGAACATTGGGATATCCCATGGTGTAGTTGATGACCACAGTATTTTGGCCAATGTGCTGTGCAGCTTTGTGGAGAGCCTGGCTGCCTCTTAGTGCTGGGACCTTCATGGTTACAGGAAGGCTGCCACAGGTCACCTGCAGACCTTCTCTTCTCCACACTCAGAACTCTGCATTCCCTGCATCCTCCTCAAACACCTTGTGCTGCTTCACTGGCCTTTGCTGAATGCAGCATTTCAGCTGTATTTTACTCAGTGCTGAGGAAAAATGAATTAATGTTATTCTCAGTCTACTGGCTCCATTTCTGGTAACAGAAACAGTAAATTGCTAAATGTCCCTGCTGCCTGAGTGCTCCCCTGACTTCTGTTTGACTTGCTTTAGTAGGACCCTGCCTCCAGATTAGGATCAGCTGGGAATTTAAGACCACATAAGTCTCAGGACAGACCCCTGAAAAATACACACCATCAGCCACTACCTTTGGAGCCTGAAAATCCTATTGTTTGTTGGATTTGTTTAATCAAATAATGGGTTTGTCCATGAAGGTGTAAGTTTATAGCTTGGGTACAGGAATACTGTGGGAGACTGTGCTGAGGGCCTCGCTGAGCTGGGGAGACACAGCAGCCACTGATCTTCCCTCATCTACTGATTTGGTTATTTTACCTCAGGGAAATCACTTGATCCAGCATAATGTACCCCTGATAAATCCATCTTGGTTATTTTCAGTCACCCTCCCATCCAAGTACCCAAAAATGGCATGTACCCTCTGGGCACTTTGCCTGGCCAGAGGCAAGGGCACATAAATTAACTCAGTCAGTGATTGCATTGTTATAACGTGGTCCTGAAGCATGAAAGCAGAGAGTTAGTCAAATCTAATCTTTTGGTTGTGGAAAAATTTAAAACCTGAGGGTTTTACTACTTATTGTCATAGATTTACCTCAGCGTACACTCTGTAAGCAGCAGTGTTTGCTGATTAATCTCTTCAGACCACCTCTCATATTTGTGTTGCCTGAGTGTCTCACTTCCTTGGATTTAGAGATTAATTTAATCAAAAGAACTCAGGACACCTTGAATAGCTTAAATAACTGGTCTTTTCTATGCCAGCTGATTCTGAGTGGTTGCAGGTGACACAAAGATGAATAGGCGACTCAGCCAGCTTGAAAGCTTTTAACATTCAGAAGATGATGCAGTAGTTACACAAACAATGGAACTGAAGATCATTATTTTTCTACTGAGAGTGTGAATGAGGACATTTTTATAACTGTGAATGTAAACAGATGTCAAAAAATGACATTTAGAATCACAGAAATGTTTAGGTGGGAGGAGACCTTTAAGATCATTGAGCTCAGCCATTCCCCCAGGACTGCCACGGCCCCACCAACCCCTGTCCCCAGGTGGCACAGCTACAGGTCTTCAAAATCCCTCCAGGGCTGGGGACTCCACCCTGGACTGCCCTGGGCAGCCTGTTCTAGTGCTTGACAATGCTTTGGGTGACAACATTTTCCCTAAAACCAATCCAGTAGTGAGGGGCCCAAAGCTGAGCACAGGATTTGAGATGTGGCATCAGCAGTGTCAAATCCAGGGCCATCCTTGGCCAGCTGGGCCCGCTCTGGTGAGGGATTGCAGGGGGCTCAGTGAGCACTTGTGGCAGCTCCCTCAGTACCCCAGCAGCTCCCTGCTCTGTTCTCATTATGAAGAATGATATTCTCTCCTTTTGTGGTAAAAAGTCTTACCTGGGTGAAAGACAGTGTTGTGGTTTGAGTATTGCCAGATACATTTCATGGACAATCTTCTGCTTTCACCTCCTTTGAAGCTTCGTGTTTGTCAACAGATCTGCTCATTCTGATACAGAGTGTAAATGAGATGTTGGGTTTGTAATAGAAGGAGAGAGGTGGGGAGAATGAAGAGAGTATTTAGTAATGCCTGGCAGTGTCAATGTTAATATTTTGGTTTAAAATGCTAATATTAAGATGATGTGCAGGGAAAGGCATGGCAGAATCATTAATGATGGTTTTTTTAAAGCTCTCTGAAACCTTTTCAATTTAGATTAGTATTTAAATCTCCCTTTGGAGATTAAATGGCTTCAGTGAGTCTTGCAGTCCATTTTCTGATTATAACATCTCCTTCTAGCATAAAAGGCTTTAAATACAGCATCATCCTCTGAGTTTTTAGACATGTAGCTCTTTATACTGATTCTTATTTACAGGTATTGGGCAGCTAAAATTGTAGAAGAGTCTTTAACCAATTTTCAGGATTTCATTTTTTTATTAGAGCAAAAAGATTTAACAACCTCTAAAATACATCTTTCTTTCTAGATGCCTGTGTTTTTTAACAAATGCACCTTTCCACAGACAACATACCAGGAGATGAGGATTAGTGGTGAGGTATCTTCCCATTTAGCAGGAGAAGACAGAGATTATACAGAATAATGAAATTTTCCAACACTGTAATAGCGTTTCTTTTTGAAATTCTGTCTAACTTGTGACAGCCTTTTACTTTAACAGCTAAGGTAAATACTCCCTGTAAATTCAAATTGGTAGGTAAAGAAACAGCTTAACTGAGAAAAGCCTTTAGGAAAGCAAGTGGTCTTGTGAGTGATGATACACTGAAAAAAGGCATGAAAAGTTGGTAATCATTTTTAAAATAATATTTTAGAATTACTGTTCTAATGCTATATAAATATAATGTAAATATTTCTTACTTTCAAAAAGGTTTAAATTTTACTATTTTGTATCTCCACAGCATTTGTCAAGTAGACACAGTGTCCAGCAGAGCACATCACAGGTAAATATCATTCATGTTTGAATTTTTTGTTGTCTTTAAGTTCTTGGTAATGTAGGTAAAGGTATGATGGAGATTACTGGGTAAGTCCTTACCGACAGAACACTTCCTCAGAAGATTCCCAAGTATTTAAGTCACCAAGGTCCTGCTTCAAATTCCATTTAGGTCTCTTTTCCTGAGCTTGTAACTGTTGTTCTTAAAAGATACAATTGTGTAGAGAGATCAAAAGCTTCCCTCTGCCTCTGTGACTCTTCTGTCTACCTGCTAACCGGTGGCTTAGTGGCTTCTGTTTCACACATCCTTTCTGTGCTGGTATAATCCTGTCCTGGTCATGGAACCTGGCTTTGATCTTTACAGAGATCTGTGCTTCCACAGGTACCTGTCTTTAAAGAATGAGGATTTCCTTGGGTTTAATTTTAAGTCCAGAACAAAATTCCTTTTAAAGGAGTACAAATCTGAATTGTAAGTCTGGAAATGTAAGATTTTTTTTTGTTAGACTGTACCTGTCTGTGCATTCAGAGGAGGTGAGCATAGAGCACTTAGGATATTCATGCAACTGTTTATTAAGATCAGCATGAATGGATGTAAAGGGTTGTAAAAACTGAAAGCCTACATTTGCTTATACTCTTTTTTAATTTGGCCACCCCAGCATTCACTGCTATGGTGAATAGGTCTTGATATGTTGAGCCAAAATGTAAACCTTTCTACTATTTGGCTTGATTGGTTGCTCATGTTATCAACCCTTGTTAAGTTTGTTATACCTGCAGGACAAACTGGCCTGTTAAGCTTTGTTCTAAGTCATGGATTGTTTTTGAGAGGAAAATACCCTTAGGATTAAGTCCCAATGTTCCCCCAGCACTGCCAAGGCCACCACTAAACTCTGTCCCTAAGCACCACATCCACACATCTTTTAAATCCCTCCAAGGATGGTGACTCTACCACTTCCCTGGGCAGCCTGTTCCAGTGCTTGACAACACTTTCAGTGTGGAATTTTTCCCTAATATCCAATCTAAACCTCCCAGACACAACTTGTTCCTTGAGAGGAGAGACCAACCCCCACCTGGCTACAACCTCCTCTCAGGGGGCTGCACAGGGCAATAAGGTCCCTCCTGAGCCTCCTTTTCTCCAGGCTGAGCCCCCTCAGCTCCATCCTCTTCCCTGGAGAGGCTCCATCACCTCAGTTCTTCCTTGGAGTGAGGGGCCCAAACCCCAGGATTTGAGGTGTGGCCTCAGCAGTGCCCAGTACAGGGGGACAGTCACTGCCCTCATGCTACTGGCTACAGAAATGACCTCTAGAAGTGAATTGCAGCTGCTCAAAAGAAATAATGTAACAAATGTTACTAACAATGCTTTAAGTCCATCTGTTTTAAATGGAAATCATCAGGACCCACTCCAGTACCATCTTATAATTCATTTTCAGTACCAGAATCAAAGCAAAATTTGAGAAATAGGATTGATTTGGTTTACTTGATAAAATCAGATTCACAATGCATAAACCATTTGTTTTGTATCCACTTGGTTATCACAGTTTCATCAATCTATTCAAATTAGAAGCATTAAAAATAGAGGCAGAAAGTTTAATCTAGCCCCTATCTCTGAGGCAGAATATATTTGAGATTAAACTTTTACTTGAGGGTGAGAGGAGAGCAGGATCTCTGTTGAAATACTCAGGTTGATGTGTTCAGGTGTCCTTTCTGTGTGAGGAAGTGCCAGTGGTGTTCCCTGTTTGGCTCAGGTGGACACGATCCGTCAGCGGCACGGGGACGCCTGCCGGATGCCAGTGCCTCATCACTTCTTCCTCAGCCTGAAGAGCTTCACCTACAACACCATTGGAGAGGACACTGATGTCTTCTTTTCCTTGTACGACGTCCGGGAAGGCAAACAGATCAGGTAGGAATTTGTCCAAGAGCTAAAAAGCTTCCTAGGAATAGAGATGTGAGCAGAGAGCTACACTGGAGATAACCACGAGGTGTTCTTGAGGCCCAGCTGGAAGGACAGAGCTGGGACACCACAAGTTGCTGGCCCTGCAGTTCTTACATGGGTATATCAGACTGCTCCTTGCATAGGAAATTTAGTGAGGCATTAAAGGCACAGAATGGTTGAATTTTTTAGTTTTCTGACTTTGCCTCCAGACATTACAGGAGCTTCCTCCTTAGGGTTATTGGTTAAGAAGCAGAAATAATGACAGGGCCAGGCTGTGGGGCTGGTTTGAGAAGGGACTGCTGTGTGCCTCTGTAACTTTCCTCCACTCCTTGCCGTCCAGGCCTGTCACAAAATAGCTCTTTCCCTTCACTGTATTGCTCTCAACATAAACTCTTAACGTTCATCCCTATGTCTGTGGTCTCAATTTATTGAACTAATTGGTACCAGTGCTAGCAAACATGAGATGGGCTGGCTTTTCTCTTCCAAGCATGTGTTTTGAAAAGATCAGGGTATGTAGAAGAGCGTTGCAGCATTTATTTTGTGTCTTGGAAGTTTAGCAAATGCAGCTTGGTGTGATCTGAGGAACACCATATTTGTGCAGTGTTCTGAGTTTTGGTAAAAGCATTTCCTGGCGTTCACTTGCTGCCATAGTCAAAACTCTCCTAGTTTTCAGCAGTTAGATTTAGATTTGTTTCAAACTGAGGGAAGAGCCACAGAATGTTCCTTCCTCTCTTAGGAAGAAAGCTCAGAGTAAATGAGAACAGTTTTGTATCTCTTCAGAGAAGATCCCACTGAAAATTGGTCTATATTAGAAAGCTCTGATGACTTGATGGTATTCCTGACATCCAGCCTAATCCTCCCCTGACACAGCTCCAGCCCCTCCCTGCTGTCCCTGGGCACAGAGGGCAGAGATTGGTTCCCTCCCCTCCCCTGTCCCTCAGGAGGATGCTGGAGGCTCCACTGAGGTCTCCCCTCAGTCTCCTCCAGGCTGAACAAACCAGGGGCCCTCAGCTGCTCCTCACAAGGCTCCTCCTCCAGACCCTTCCCATCTCTGCAGCTTTTGACTCTCCAGTGGATGGAGTTTAGAATGTGCCTATGATGCCTCTCTTGAGAGAATTACCAGAAAATAGCTATTAAGAGGGAAAGATGAAAATGGAAAACCAAACAGAAAAGATACACCCAACTAGTTCCTACTGCAAAGCAATAAAATATTAAATAATTGAGATGAGAAAAGCTGCCAGGAAGAGGAAGGGACAGGCAGACAAGCTGCTGCCAGCAGAAATTGCTTTGAAAGGAGATGAATTGTCTTGGGCTGCAGTTTGTATGTAAACACTGAGTGCAGAGCCTTAAGGAAAGGGTTTTGCCAGTGATTAAAAAAAAAAGGAAATAATCATTATAATGAGAAAAAGCACAAAGAGTGGTCCAGGCAAATTTAAATACATATAGTAATGCTTTTTTGTGCAAACAGTTGTTATTACTTAGCTCTTTGAATTGAGCATCAGTGGTCTGCTGTAGTGAAAACAGCATAATTTTTACATTTTCTTACAACCCAAAGAGTGCTGGGGAAGAAATGTGTAATGAAGCTGAGCTCTGTTTTGGAGAAGAAACCAGAAAACAGACAAACACATCGCTACAAATTTAGAATGATGTTTTTATATCTACTTTAAAACATTTTCTCTCCTCTCGGGGAATAGTACATTAAGGTAAAAAACCCAAGCAAGGCTTCTGCACGCTGCACTCTAAATGAAAGGGACAAATTGACTTCTGAAATGGTTTGGAGGTTGATAAATTTCTTACCCAAGCAGCTCGTGCTGGAGGCTGAGTGGCTTTCAGCATTACTGCCTTGGACATGTGCTGGATTACAAACCTCCCTGAACCTGCTGGTGCCAAGAGCTATTTCCCAGGGAGGTTAAGTGAAGAGTTGCTGAAAGTTCCAGTGTTTTTCAAGGGCTGAAGCAACAGCATGCACCAGGTGGGGATTAGCAATCAGAAGTTTGGAGCAGCAGCTGAAATACCTTTTGAGGTGGTTCCCAGGTTCTGAATACAAAAATGTTCCTGTGTTTAATGGTTGTCAGCAAAGGAGGAGCAGGCAAAGGGTGACAGTGGGGAGCTGTGGACAGAATAACAGCACTGCCAGCAGAGGGGTCAGACCTAGAGGTAAACACAAGGAAAAAGTTACTTCACTTTTAACCTGACAGAAATATAGAAAGTAATACTTCTAAGTAAATAGAACTTGAAGGCTCAGATTTAAAAAGGGATTAAAGCTTATTTGTCTGTTTTAAAGTATTTGGGATTTCTTTTTTTCTTGCATACAAAATACACTAGTTTAGCAACTTTGTGACTCATCTTTAATACCTCAGTTTGTTTGCTGAGTGGAAATTACTGGAAAATGATGTGATAATTGATGTAGTTTGGATTATAGCCAATGATTATACCCCATTGGGAGATGTACCTTGGCATGAATGATCATGGAGTGATGGAGCTGAGAGTAGCAGCAAAGAAAATGTTACTGGAAAGATGGCGACCTCAGGAAGGAAGGTGCCTGTAAAGATCAAATAGAGATAGGTAAACTGATATGGAGAAAAGCTATTGGAGAGTTGTGTTTCTGAGTGATACTGTGAAAGAGCACAGAGGCAAATTGTTTGAGTATGAAGGAAAAATTAAATATATGGAGACCACAGAAAGTCTGTATCATGTTCTGTGGTTGGAAAGGCAGTATATAAAACAGGACAAATGAAATTGTACAAACAGGGACGGGAAGAGACAGAAATTTATAGAAAAAACGGAACTACTAAAGGGCATCAAGGACAAAAAAAACCAAAAGAATAATTCTGTAATGCTTTACCAGCAAAAAACTTTTTTTTTTTTTACAAAATGAAGAAATAGCTGAACAGATTAAAGGGGACATTAAGCCGTGAGCAGATGTTTCCAAGATAGCTGGAGTATTTAATGGCTGTTTTGCCTCAATCTCCCTAAGAAGGTCAGCTGCAATCCGATGACAAATGTGAAAAGTTGTGGAACAAATAAACTACTTGTTAGCACTAAGCAGCTAACAAGATGGTAAGTAAAAGTCAACATAGATTTGTCAAGCACAAATCACATCAGAGCCAACTAATTTTGTTCTGTTATATGGGAATGCACCTCCTGCCTCAACAGAAGAGAAGTATTGAACTTGATAGAATAAAGAGATACAGGCTGCATTAACTGCTCTAAAGGAGCTGGGAACTGGTAGACAAAGGGATGCAGAGTGTTATCTGTGCTAGAAAGATGCAACAAATAATAGATATATCTACATTTCTTGACATTTTTAGCAAGATTTTGATGAGTGAAAATAAATTAAATTCAGTAAAAGAGTGAGGTTTAGATACCTATATAATAACTTTATTTTTCCAGGAAATGCATGGAATTATGCATAACTTAAAAAAATGACACATTCAGACATATGATAGTGGGATTTTTTCTGAAAATAAATTTGGTAAGTCCATTCTAACTGTCATAGAAACCCAGAGTGGTTTGGGTTGGAAGGGACCCAAAAGACCATCTTGTTCCACCCCCTGCCATGGACAGGGACACCTTCTACTCTCCCAGGCTGCTCCAAGCCCTGTCCAGCCCAGCCTTGGACATTCCCAGGGATCCAGGGTTTCTCTAGGCAGCCTGTGCCAGGGCCTCCCTACCCCCACAGGGGAGAATTTATTCCTGATATCTCATCTGAACCCCCACTCTCAGTGTAAAGCCATTCCCCCTGGTCCTCTCACTCCAGCCCTTGTGAAGAGTCCCTCTCCATCTTTCCTGTAGACTCCCTTCAAGTTCTGGAAGGGGCAGCTAGGTTACTCTGAAGCCTTCTCTTTTCCAGGCTGAGCAATCCCAGTTCTCTCAGCCTTTTGAGTATGGAAAAGGAGAAATAAATTTATGTCTTATTTTTTCTTTATAAAGTTTATGTTTAAACATGGGAATGTTTTTCATTCTGCCTGCATCCTCAACCAGTTACCCTATTTCACACACCACTGGGATTTAAAATTTTCTCGTCATCTAGAAATATCCTTAATTATGGAGAGTGAATAGAACAAAAGAGAAACTCTGATGTGATTGAATTTGAAGATCTGGGGGCCTAAGCAGTAATTATGCATGAGAGATGGTGTTGTGCATATTTCTGCTGGTAACTCCTCCACCTGCCTCCTCCTACTCACTGAGCCTTTGCCATTCCCGTTATAGCAGCGACCTCGTCGTGACTGGGGGATTGGGAGATGTGCTCAGTGCCTGTGCTGCTGCTGGGACTCACTGAGCAATCCATGTGGGCATTTCTCATCCAGCAACTGTTCAAACCCTTTGTGGAGAGACCAGGTGTTCTCTGCAGTGTCTGTTTTAAATAGCTGCCATGTCTTTGGGGTGAGACAGGATTGTAAACACTGCAACATGGGCTAGGAGTTTGATTGGGAAACATCTATTTCAGTGTTAAAATTTAAAAGCAGTAGCCAAAATGAGAAAAAATATAAGCTTGCTCTTTAAAGCTCTTGCTAATAGGTGATACAGAAAGATGTTTTTTGTGGAAATGTTCTCAGCTTGTGGGTGGATGATGGGGAGAATGTGAGCAGTACAGTCTGTCCCAAGTCTTGTCTTAAGGATTTAGCACCATTGACAAAGCAGTTCTCAGGAGAGAAACATGGTTTGGAAACATAATTATGGACTGAAAAAATGCCCTGGGTCTACACAGGATAGTTGGATTCAGCTGCTCAAAAGTCATCTGACATAAAATCATCTGCCCCTATTTTTCAAGGCTGAGTCAAATGTTCAGTGGCAGTGTTTGGCTGTCAGTACTGCTCTGTGGTGGGGTTTGGTGGTAACTGCAGAGGTAATGGAGATAATGATTTCCTGTTTGTAACTTCTCTCTGGATCTTGGGTCATTTTCCAACCAAATTATTTTCTGTGATAAAAATCAGCAGACAAATGTGTAAATAGTTCAAGATACT